TGCTAGGCCATAAGGTAGCATTTTTAATTTACATTATAGTCAAGGGCTTAATGCTTCACAAAATAGAGTTAAAGTAAAAAGACTGTAGTTTAGTGGGAATAGGGGCAAGAACTACAGACACCATTTCACCTGTATATACTACATTTTAAGTAGTCATAGATCATTAAAAGACTATAGTTGTGTAACAATCTTAACCATTAGTTCTGACAAAAGCATAAAATGAAGTTTGACTGAAACCACCTCAGGGTTTTTCTGGGTCTTTGTAAGCATTTACTTTCCCAAAGTAGAAACATACCCAGAAACGTACTTACCTCTGCTAATGATTTGTTGAGTTTCATTGTTTGTATGTCGTTGATTGAGTTTTATTATTAGATAACATGAATTAGGTTTACAGCTGTATAAATATAATTGAAAACATTTCTATTTGCCCTTAAGAAATATATGTACCTATAACACTTTGCAAATTTCTAAGTGATTACTATTGTGTTTCATTTTATTTCTAAACTCATGTAATAATCCTTTTGCCAGTTTTACCTGGTAAATGTCTTAGATGCATGCATTAGTTTTATAGTACTATAACAAACAGCTGAAGCAGACTACTTTATTTCGAAGGGGTTCAGATTTCTTTTGATTTATGGTCCTGGGGTGCATGGCTTGGTCTGGTGATAGCCTTCCAGTGGTAGAGTTCCAAGGCAGAGACAGGAATCCATGTGTGTCTGTATGTATCTTTCTCTCTTTCCATAACACCACCAGGACACAGTCATAGAGGCTTCTTAATGACCAAATCTAATCCTGATCGTTTCCTAAAGGCTCACTCTAAACACCATGACTGGATTAAATTTCTGTCCTCTTAATTCTTCACAACAGGAGTTAAATTTCTCCACACTTTTTGGGGGTTTCTCAAACTACAAAAAATCTGATGCCAGCTTATCAGATATTTATGGTAGTCATAGCTAACAGTTATTAAGTAATATGTGCATACTGTGTCCTGAATTCTTTGTATGTTTTGTTTTATCTTAATGATCTGGACTTTGGGTACTGTGGTTATTCCTACTTCCACAGCTGAAATCCTTTGTTAGTAATTTAACCTAATGTTACACCACTATTTGAATTAATCTTGGCAGCTGAACTTGAACAAAGATACACTGTTTTAATTTCTTAACATATTTGTATAACATTTATAAATTTTTCCTCCCAACTATTCTAAATGATACTATTCTAATGATACATTATCTCCCAGCTTCAAGATAGGTAAGAGATATTTTATGGTTGAAACAATCTCAAAATATCATTGTAGGACACAATAAAAACTTGTTTCTCAAGCAAAAAATTATTTGGCTTACTCAGATGGTTATATTTCTTCAATCTTCTAACTCAACTGTTCTCTCAGCTCTATTCAGAGTCACCCACTGGCATTACTGCATTCAGCCAGGCACTGAGTGAAGAAAGATAATGTGAAGGAGGGTTAAAGAAATGATGTAAGGAGCAGTTATTCATCCTTATACTTAAGTGGTATTGACTAAGACTAGTTGCATGGCTACACCTTGCTGTTATCAATGGAGTGAAAAATACAGTCCTCCGTTGTGCACAGAAGGAAAATCAGACAGATAGGTTGTATCTGCCCGATTTGTTTTCCCTGTTTCCCAGATGATCTCAGAAGGTTACAGCTAAACTAAACTGACAAAACTGTAGATCCACAGAACTAATGTCATCATATCATATGCTCATGTTCTTAAGAGACAGTAAAATAATTGAACAACGTTTAGGTTTTATTTCTAGCACTATTGCTGCATTTCCAATTTAATATGAAGTATTTTCCTTTTTTTGTTACATTTTACCTAGACATTTAGTAACTTATTGATGGGATAATGAACAGTTTTCCGTTGTAATTGCCATTTTAAGTGAAGATGACATAATAGGACTAAAATTTCTATGTAAACTTATTTGCCATTGCCTTTTGAATATATATTATAGATTAACCTTTTAATTTTATGTACCGTTTTTTAGTATATGTAAGCAGAATATAGGCCATCTATCCATCTAACAGGATTCTTATGTGACAAAGTGGAGACGTTTGCTTAGGGGCTTTTTCACCTTCTTAAAAACTTTTGTAGAAAGAGTGGCAATTTAGAATTTTAATGGCGTGGAAATATATTCTGAGCTTATAATTTATACAGATATGAGTATTGTACTAATGTGTTAAAAATTTTTTAGAAATTTATTAACTTATTGACATGTTAAATTCTGATATTTCAGTAATAGCCATTTAGACTAAACTTTTTGGAAAATCTAAGTACAGGATACAGCCTATCACTAGAGCATATGTAATGTATTCATAATTTAGTATGCAGTGTGAGATTTCATTAGTTTCTCTATGGCAATCCATTTGCTAGCTATTCATTTCAGGCATCGTTGATGTTTTGCAAAAATGTATTGTCTATTATGTTTCTACTTTATTGTGCTGTATAAAGAGATGCTTAATGCATCAGTTTTTTTCTTTAAGATTTGTTTCTTTGAAAGGCAGAGATACAGAGAAAGGGGAGAGGCAGATCTCCCTATTTGCTGGCTTATATCTCACATAATCACAGCAGCAGGGTACTGGGCCCAGTAGCAGCCAGGAGCATCATCTGGCTCTCCCAAGCACTTGGGCCATCTTCCATTGGACTCCCAGACAGGTTAGTGGGTAGCTGGATCAGAAGTGGAACAGCGAGGACCCAAAACAGTAATCATATGAGATGCCAACATTACAGACCAGACCAATCAGAAGATGGCCCAAATGCTTGGGCCCCTGCACCCATGTGGAAGACCTGGAAGAAGTTCCATCCCTGGCTGTTACTTCTGTTTGGGAAGTGAACCATTGGATGGAAAATTTCTGTCTTTGTCTCTCCCTCTCTCTGTAACTCGGCCTGTCAAGTGAACAAATCTTGAAAAGAAGGATAAAACCATGCTGTAATGTGACATTGGCTGCTTAGTAAGTCAGCTTCTGAATCAAATCTTACCTCTTCACTATTATTTGGATAGCAGGAATTAGACCCAGAGAAATGCATTGCTGCTGGGTATCTAAATTTGTTGGGGAATCAGTTTACTAGAGGAAAATACAGCATTTTCAAATTTGAGATTGATAGGTTAAAGTCTTATAGACACATTTAGATTTTGGATGACATATACTTGATAACTTAAACATTTAAATAACCCTAAATCTGACTTGATTTCAGTTAAGTATATGTTTAATATAGATGCACTGGAGGGAAAGTTCCACAACAAGGGCTTTGTTCACTTTTGTATGTCTAACACTTAAAAACTATCTGACACATGACACTCACTGGGCTTAGTTTTTTTGAAAGAATAAACTAACTAATAAATGACACTAGTTAATCCTAAATGGATTGAAGGTATATTTAGTAACGCAAAAAAATATATATTTTTTTAATTGGAAAGTCAAATATATAGAGAGGAAGAGAGACAGAGAGGAGGGTCTTCCATCTGTTGATTCACTCCCCAGGTAGCTGCAGTGGCCAGAGCTGAACTAATCTGATTTCCATAGAGGCTGCACCAGCCTGCAGACTCACCAGCAGTGGAGTAGAATTCTGTTTTCTCCGCATCCTCACCAGCAAGTGTTGTTGGTGTTTTTCCGTATATGAGCCATTCTGACTGGCTTCATGTGTACCTCAGTGGTATTTTCATTTGGATTTCCCTTATTGCCAGGGAGCTTGAACATTTTTTCATATTCCTGTTAGCCATTTGGATTTATTCCTTTGTAAAGTGCCTATTTCCAGTGCCCATTTCTTGACTGGTTTGTTTGTTGTTTTGGTTGTTCTGGAGTTCTTTATATATTCTGGATATTAGCCCCTGTCTCCTATGTAGTGTGCAAAGATCTTCTCTAATTCTGTTGGGTCTTTTTTACTTTTTTGATTGTTTCCTTTGCTGTGCAGAAGCTTCTCAGTTTTATGTAATCCCATTTGTTTATTTTGGTCTTTATTGCCTTTGCTTCTGATGATTTTTCTAGGAAGTGAGAACCTACACCTGTACCTTGCAGAGTGTTTCCAACTTTTTCTTCCAAAAGTTTGATGGTTTCTGGATGTAGATTTAGATATTTTATCCATTTAGATTTGATTTTTGTATATTTTGAAAGGTGTGGGTCTAGCTTCTTAAGTAACTCTTTAAAAGGAAAAAAAAAAAAAAGATACAAAAAGTAAAGAATTCCTTTTTTTTTTTCATTAAAGAACAAGACCAAAGATGACTTGCTATTCTTACCATGACACGTATTTTGAAATGCAAGATAAAGTAAAAAACATGCAGAGGAAAAAAGACACACATTTTTAGTAAAATCTACCATTATACTGTATATTTTCCTCAAATTTGAATAACAGTGCTGCAGATAATAGGAAAATATAATATAAAGAGCATACATAAAGTTTAGCTGAGTAAAATGTTTTCGAGATTTTGTCTTGGGAAACCATTATGATTGTCTCAAGGATGTGTCGTTAGTTGCTTAAGAGAATCTTTTTTAAGTTTGTAAATTGTGACAGTCATCCAAAAAATAGCAATAACCCTGGGTTTGTAGGTCAGTGATTTATCACAAAGTGAAGATTGTTGAATATACTACCCAAGTTATGGAAATTTGTTCTTAGCCATCTTATATACATATTTTGTTGTCAATTAAAAATCAAAAATATAGACAGCGAGGAATCATTGAGGCCAGAGTGATAATGATAAGAAGTTTTATGTAAGAGTTTGGTGATGATTAGGTTAGCTTAGTTCTAGAAAGTTTTATTAAAACTAAGTGATGTTCTCATTACTGTTTCATCTTTATTTCATCTTTCAATATATTCATCTTGTATTCCTGTATAGACAACTTTAATTGGCCTTATTTTTCTTAGAACAAAAGACAACTAATGACTAAAGAACATACTTACTTGAGGTTTTATAGATTGTACATTTATATAAGCATGCAAAAAATTCAGTTAAATGATTTTGCTCTTTTGTCTCCCCCTCCTTAGGACATCTATGTTAACAATATTCTGTGAATTCAACATTTTAAAGAATTCTATGAAGAAATCAAATGGGATTTTCTTACATCATGACTTAATTTGAATACAAGAAACAAGTTGCATCTTTAAGTATAATGAAGGGCTGTGTGTGAACACTGGCCCTGACTCAATTCTAATGAACATTTTAGACATGAGTTTACATCGGCAAATGGGTTCGGATCGAGACCTTCAGTCCTCTGCTTCATCTGTGAGCTTGCCTTCGGTCAAAAAGGCACCCAAAAAAAGAAGAATTTCAATAGGCGCTCTGTTTCGGAGGAAAAAGGATAACAAACGCAAATCCAGGGAACTAAATGGCGGAGTGGACGGAATCGCGAGTATTGAAAGTATTCACTCTGAAATGTGTACTGATAAAAACTCCATTTTCTCTACAAATACCTCTTCTGACAATGGATTAACTTCCATCAGCAAACAAGTGGGAGACTTTATAGAATGCCCTTTGTGCCTTTTGCGGCATTCTAAAGACAGATTTCCTGATATAATGACTTGCCACCATAGATCTTGTGTGGATTGCTTACGACAATATCTGAGGATAGAAATCTCTGAGAGTAGAGTCAATATCAGCTGCCCAGAATGTACTGAACGCTTTAACCCCCATGATATTCGCTTGATATTAAGTGATGATGTCCTGATGGAAAAATATGAAGAGTTTATGCTTAGACGATGGCTTGTTGCAGATCCTGATTGTAGATGGTGTCCTGCTCCAGACTGTGGGTAAGAAGATATGACTTTCTTCCATTAAGTTTTCTGTTTTGGTAAAACAAAAATTTGCCGACTGTTGCTCAAAATAAAAATCTTATGCCAGAGAATTCATTCATTTAACAAATATTTTGAGTGTGTATCATGTTCAGGCACAGTGTTAGTTGTTAAAGGTAGGAATCCTGTTTTGTTCATATTATCTGCATTTATGCATCCATTTAACGGTTTTGGGGGGAAAAAAGTATGCAAAATTGATTTTCTCTGTCTACTTAGACATTTTCTTATATTGAAATAATGCGTTGAATAATTAGGTTTGTTTCTTGTAAGGGGGTAATTTATGATGATTGACTTTAGCATGTGCCACAGTATGATGGGCTCGTGTTTGTGTACGTAAAACTTTTGCTGATCTCTCAATCTGGGGGTTATGTAATACTTCAGTTGTCTAAGGTTTTGGAATTAATACCATTTCCCAGTATTTAAAATAAAATAGGGACTTTTGGTGCAGTGGCTTTAAGTTGCTTCTTGGGATGCCCGAGTCCTGTGTGGGAGTGCCAGCTACTGCAATTGCAGTCAGCTTCCTGCCAGTGTGCGTCCTGTGGAGGCAGTCAGTGTTGGCTCAGGTGCTTGATTCGCTGCCACCTGGAGAGGGGCTCAGGTGGAGTTGCAGGCTTCAGGCTTAAGCCTGGATCATACCTGGCTTTTGCAAGTGCTGGGGAATGGATGCAAGCTCGCGCTCCCTGTTTCTGCCTGTCTTTTAAATTCATTTTTAAAAGTGTTTTAGATAAACTATTTGCTTTTACATCTGTTTATGTTAACAGAAATTCATATTTAAATAGCATATCTTTTATATATTTGTCAGAGCTAGAGAAAGAAATAATATGCTCTCCAAGAATAAGTAAAAGTTGAGGTCTCCAGCCTCCCTTAATGGGCACTGGTTCCGGTCCTGGTTGATCCTCTTCTGGTCTGGCTGCCTCCAGTGATCTGGAGTTGCAGGGGAGGATGGATGGCCCTGCATCTGCTTGGGGAGGCCCAGAAGAAGCTCCTGGATGCAAACCATTGCGGCCATTTGGGGAGTGAAGATTCTCACCCCCTCACACACACCCTTTGTCACTCCCTTTCTCTCCCTGTCTCTGTTCCATTCCCCCTCTAAATTTGCCTTTCAAATAAAAAACTTTTAAAAAATTTTGGGGAAACCTAAAATTTTCAAGGTTATTTGGATGTTATCTCAGGCAAGGTTAAAAGATAAATTTGATTTGTCAGATTATAATTTCAGAATTTATGAGAATCACATGTATTATAAAAATTTGTAAATTTTAAGATTGTACTAACTCTGTATTCCACAATTTTAAATAAGAAAAGTAGTGTTGTTAGCCTGCACAAATCTTAGTTTTACCAGGTATCATTAACACTTTATTGAGGATTTTCACATCATACACAACACGGAGAAATTTTTTCATTAATATTTTATGATTCCTTTAGTTGCATATAGAACTCACAGGTACTGCTTGATATCAGATTTTAATTACACTCCCCTATACTACAGGGAATTTGTAACATAAACAACCATATGTTAAGCATATTCTCTAATCAGTGCCACAGTCAGTTGTGCTTTCAGGTATAGTCTCAGAAGTAAGCTCTGGGACATGTAAACAGTTAAACTCTAAGAAAAAGATGACTTGAGCAGGAGACAGTGAAAAAAGAATATGATTGTATTACCCTTGACCCTGTGGGTCCTTTGCTCATTTCTATAGTTACAGGTAGGCGAGTTTACATTGTGAATTATATGATAATCACTGACAGTTTTCTTAATTTATATGGTAGATACAAGAGAATTTATTTTTACTGTTCTTTATATACCTTATGTATACATGATATTAGTAAAATTAAAACATTTTCCAAAGGCTCATATATGGGGATGATTTGAGGATAGTTTTCCTATTGAGATGTATTTGTTGAAAAATAAAATAATAACCTCAGTATTCTAAAAAATTTAGACAAGATAGAACGTCTCATTCCTGGAGCGCACTCAGCCGCTACCATGGGCGTGTCCAGAGCCGGTATCGGGCTTGCCGGAGCGCCGTGGACTACCCATGGAGCTCTGTGAAGCAGTCCGACTGCTTCACTGCTCGTCTGCGGGCTTGAGCTGAGGGCAGGGCCTGGAGGGGGTGGTGCTTGAACCTGGGGAAGTAGTCTTCCAGCCGCTGCATGGGGGCTGGAAGGCCCCGGGATAAGCAGCGTCTCATGCCTGGAGCGCAAGTGGCCGCTACCATGGGCACGTCTGGAGCCGGTATTGGGCGGCTAGTGTGCCATTTGGCACTAGGCTTATCTGCTGGCCGCCCGGCCAGGGAGCTCTGGGATTTGGTTTTTAAGATTGCTGCTTGAAAGCTCCATGATGAACCCTCAGGGCTTTGGGTACATGAATCAACCCTAAAGATTCCCAATGATGGTAAATCTCCCCAGATGAACCTGTGCCCATGTGTTTTTAAAATTGTATAACCAAATATATTTTCGAAACCTTTTACCACCCAGAATTCGGGCGGGAGAGCAGAGAAACCTTCCATCCCTTGTGAATGTGTGAGGAAGCTGTGTAGTGTAACCTCTCAGGCACATAACAGGTAACTTGTAGACAATAGATTCAAGACAACATTAGACAACAGTAAAACTACAAAGACATACAAGGGGAATCAAGAGTGACCCTTACCACCTATTAACAGGAGGTCATGCACACAGAGTAGTGGGGGACCACAGGGTGGAGCAGGTGGACAGGAGGAGGCTTGTATCCCAAACCTGGAATCTCCCGGATCCCCACTAAGGGCTATCAGTACGGGCGCCAAGGACCACATCCCAACTGCCAAAGAGACCATGGGGGACTGGAATACCTTCGGAGGCTGAGAACTCAGAGGACATCCTCCCACCCCTTTGGACCTACCCCACGGGATGGAAGAAGCTGAATCCTTCATCGTAGGATCCAAGGCCATCGAAACAACAGCCAGCAAACCTGAGCGGTCCTCAGAAACAGAAGAACAGTAAACTCCCTTCAGGACTTGGGAGAGGACCTATCTCTGGTTCTTACTTAGCTCCAACTTTGGGTTCCCAACCTCTCTGCAGTGACCATGAGGGACGCTCCAGAGCCCCTCCTCCCAACACACACACACACACACACACACACACACACACACACACTCACATACACACAAATTGGAATGGATAAGCAGAGAACAATAAGGAAGGCTTGGTCAGCATGAACTCACACACACCTTACTAGGTAGGACACAGGGATTAAGTACTCCTCACCAAGGTATGGAAGATTTCTCTGCACACCCCTCCTAAAACTGTTTCGCACCTCAATTTTTGAAATGTCATTGAAATAGTCACAGAAAGTTGTTAAGGCCTTGCATCCAATTTTGACATATCAGTTGCTCAATACTGTGTCAATTTATCTCTTAATGTTATATATTGTTGCTGATGTTATGTTGGGGCTTTTAATCGACCGGGATTTTACTCTGTTGGCCCTGCCTTCGGACCGGGGAGGGTCTCCTAAGAAGCCGCTGAACTTGACTGGAGAATAAGATGCTGGACTCTATGCTTGGTGTATGCTTGCAATGAAGGAATCTCAACTAAACTTGAACTGTGGTTACATAACGGACGGGGGGGGGGGAAATCACCATAGGGGGAGGGATGGGAGAGGGGTGGGAATCCCAGTGCCTATAGAATTGTGTCACATAATATAATGTAATTAAAATAATAATAATTTAAAAAATTTAGAGAAGATAAATGTTAATGCAAGTACAATGTAAATAGAAATACCTACTTTAATAGATTTTATTACTATAAAATAAATCATAAATTTAATAAGGGATTTTCTTTAATTTGGCTATACAATAATTTTGGTGTTGATTATTAATTATCTTGTCCACAAAAGACAGAAAGAACCGTCACATATTAATTGCTTTTATTTATGTATTTTCATTAATATTCGACTTACACTGCCCTCTAGTTAAGTGTAGCTACAATATTCTCAGTGATGGTACAGGTTTATGGTAGTGTCATGTCAAAAGCATCAGCCGTGACCTCAGATTATATGTATATTTGTACTTGGCGTGGTCCTGTGCAGCCCTGCCCTGCCATGCTGTTAGGATGACGGGATAGACGTTTCATGCTGTTACTAACTGACTTCCTTTTGCATAACGTATTTGTCACATCTACTATATTCTTCAGCTCCAGTTTTGAATTTTGTTTTTTTTTTAATCATATAGTTATTTGTATGTTCAGGCCACCTATGTATTAGATACTGAAAATTTAATAATGAACAAAAGACAAAATCCCTGCCAACTGGAGTTATTAAAAGGGACTTCCCCCCAAAAAACTCCTTTTATTATTTAAATATGGAATATTATTTGATAGCATTTATTTATAGCACTGCCTAGTCACAGTATCAAGATTATGTGCGTGTATGTAGCATTTAACCCCTTTCATTGTATGATATGTTAATTTTTTTTGAGAGATGCTAAATCTGAAATTAAGGATTTTTCATATTTGGTGTTTACCAATATGGCCACATTCTGTAACTGACATGTTTTACCTTAAATATGTAGTTAGACATACCTTGAGAAAAATTTCTCTTTACCTTAGAGTGTAAAAGTGCTACCTGACCTAGTTTCTATTTGAGATCTCTTGAGATTTATGACCTGATATTCTTTATAATCATTTGAGGATCAGGTTAGCGTAAACTTGTTTAAAGGATGATGTTTCTAAAACTGCTCCTGAGAAGGAGCCAGGTGAACCACATCTGAGTGCCTTGGTTTAGCCAGAGTGAGGTTAGCTATTTTCCTGCTAGAACATGCCAATCCTTAGAGTCAAAGAAAAGTTGGGCCATATCACCTCTCTGCCTTTTTGCTAAAATCAAGTGTAGAACAGTTGAGACATGACTGGAGAGAAAAATTAGAGGGCCATGTAAGAACAGGGAAAGCATAGGACTGTGTCCTGGATAAAAAAAAAAAAACTATCTGATGACC